GATTTAAATTTTTGGAAACGTCTTCATCCGTCGCCGGATATTGTCAGTCTTGGACAGTATTGGATGATACGTCCTCCCAAGAGGGGGTACGGTTGATATTAGCCCAATTCGGAGTACAAGGTTCTCTTATACATCAGTATCGCCTTGAGGGGACCGTTAATTGGACCAGAGAGTGTCCGTCATTCGTACGTTAGATAGTTTAACCTAGAGATTCGCACACATCTTGTAAAATCCCCATGTTTGTCATCGTACCCGTTTTCGTCCCAAATCTCTCGTACCTCGCTACTCAATTTAACGCCATTGGAAGACCAACAGGCACACATCGCCCACCTCAAGAGTATCTCCAAACAGTGGGCGGAGCAAGTAAGATCGGGGCACCTACACAAATACGATGTTATTCCCCTCATCAAGACCACGGTGATGAAATCTTTGGAATATCCTATGGTGTTAACTATACTGGACGCTGCGACATGGGTGTCGATTATGAGTCCCGTTCTCCAAGTCTGCTTGCCAAAAGCCGGCATCTGCAAGAGCTTCCCCCGCGACATGGTTCTTGCCCCGCTCAAATTCCATGGTCTGGGCATCCCTCATCCGTTTGGCACTCAGGTGTCCAAACATATCGAGGTTCTGCTTTGCCACTCGTCCAACCGAACAAAAACTGGGGCGTATATGGAGGCTGGGATTCAAGAGCACCAACTTGAGACCGGCACCTCCTTCGGACTCTTCCAGCAGGACTATAGCAACACGGCAACTTTGGCGTCAGATACTTGGCTCAAAAGAGTCTGGAAAGAGTTGGAGGACTTGAATATCTACGTTGCTCTCGATACTCCGGTCCTCCCTCTCCGGTGTGAAGGCGATGCTTTGCTCATTGAGGTATTTATGGAGTTGGAAGTGGACCAGGACGCTCTGAAGTGGCTCAACTGGTGTTGTATGTTCCTCCAAGTTTGCACCGTCTCAGACATCGTGACGGCCGATGGCCGCAGCATTCGGGAGTCAATATGGCATGGGGAACGCGACTACACCCATCGTTCTTCATCTCAATGGCCTCGCACTGTCCGACCCAACAGGAACCACTGGTGGGTGTGGCAGGAGAACCCTACTCGAGCACTACTTGTCTCCGACGGAACCCAGCGCCTCCTGCGTCATCCACTGGGCCCCTGGTTTGATGCTATCGACAACTGGAACTGGTTATGGTCTTCTACCCACGGCTTGTTCCACCGCCAGGGCCACGGTTGGCAACACTACCGTCACCGTCGCTCCCCCACACAGAGCCTTCAATGGGACTATACTCGTCCTGCGCAATTGTCTGGGCGCAAACGCCCACATAATGAGCCCGCCGACGACGGCGCCTGCTTCTTGCCGGCTCCCTTTTTGACCCAACCACTCCCAGAGGACGTGTGCCGAGCTACCGTCCACATTACGCCTTCACTTGGTACTCTTGCCCTCACCGGCATTGGGACAGAACCGCTGCGGCGCACCACGACTCCCAACCGTCTCTACTAGCCGCCTGGATGGCCGCCTCAGCCGAGGTGACCGAGTATGTCGGATGGACCCCTGACAAAATAGAGCTCGATGGCGACGAAAGCCTCCTGGCCGAAGCCTTACTCGAAGACCGGCTGTGCATGATTAGCGACGGTTCTTATAAGCTAGGTCTGGGCACAGCGGCAGTTCAACTGCTCCCACGTAAGGGTGGCAAGGAACGTATTATTGTCCGTTGCCAAACTCCGGGCCTACCTGATGACCAGAGCGCATATCGGAGTGAATTGATTGGCCTACTGGCCGGTATCATGGTTGTTGATTGGCTCCTGGACCAGTGGGCCCCAACACTTCGATCACCACCCCGCGTTACGATTGCGTGCGATGAGTATTCAGCGTTGCTCAACACCTTTTGTGACAATTGAGTCACACCGCAACAAGCCCAGTTTGACCTGGTCTCCTACACTTGCCCGCTCCAGGGCATCATGGGAACCTAGCCACGTGTACGGTCACCTTGATAAGGCGACATCCTTTTTGTGCCTCTCTTGGTGGTCCAAACGGAATGTGGAAGTGGATGAGTGGGCGGTTGCTTATTGTCATCAGCTCAAAGCTTCTCACCAACTGATTGCACCCAACGCTCGTTTCTTTACCGAATTGGCTGCGCTCTACATTGGTGACGTCAAACAGTCGCGATTGAATCCAAAGCATTTCCAGGAACTGGTGGCGTTGCCTGCTCTACGCAAGCAATGGCACGAGCGGCAGACGATTACACCGGAGGTGGAGCTGGAGACCGATTGGACCAGTCTGGCTCGCGCCATGAGCTCCCTTCCGGCAGGTGTCCAACGCTGGACTACAAAGCATGTTGTGGGTATATGTGGTGTGGGGAAGTTCAAAGTCCGGTGGGGTTCCGCAGACCCAGCTGCGTGCCCCTGCTGCGGCGAGTTTGAGGACCACTTGCATGTCCCTCGATGCATGGCGCCCTCTGCGAGTGCGGAATGGGATCGTCGGACTGTGACCTTGGACCACTGGCTGGACGCTCAAGTCACTGACCCAGCCATCAAACACGCTATCCTTCATCTTCTTCAAGGGGTCCAAGATCCGTTCCAACCTTCCAGTCAGGTGGTTCCGGCTTGTCTTCACAGCGCTTTCCTATCCCAACAACGCATCAGCTACCAGGGATTATTGGAAGGCCGGCTGTCTGTTCAGTGGGCGGCCCTGCAGGAACAGTACCTTCAGTCATGAGGGAGCCAACGCTCTCCGACCCTGTGGGTCTCTCGCCTGTCGCATCAGCTGATCTTGCTTGGATTTCATGTGTGGGAACACCGGAACTCAGTGCGAAATTCGGAGGACAACGTACAGCTACGCGAACGTAGCCGATTGGTGAACAATGGTATACACTCTCAGTTTGATATGGGCCCAACCAACCTCCCCAAGGTAGTCCAACGCATGCTCGCCGTGAAACGCAAAATAGTTTTGAACAAGCGGTTGGTCGATAGGAAAGAGTGGCTGAAGTTGGTTAGAATGGAACGCACGGCCTACCGCCGCGCTCTGGCGCCTCAACGCCGTATCCTTCACCGTTTCTTCCACCCGGCCAAGGCCCCCTAACCCCGTTTCGAGGAATCAATGCCCCGAAATCACCCCGCCTTGTCGCGGGTAGAGTTGGGATCCTCTCGATCCTGACTAGAGCAACTTCTGTCCACCAGATGTCTCCAATGGTTCAAACTAGTTGTTGACTCGTCGCTTCACAGTACTTGACCTTTACAGCCGATTATTCCACTGGCAATCGTATGCGCTAGATAACATTTAATCGATTAATGTTTCAGTTATTATTATTAGCAATTCCTTCCGTCTTATAATTGACCGTTCGTGACATTGAATGCAAGCCTCCAATCTATAACCAAATGGTCGTTTCCGGGAGAATCTGGAGGAAAATGCAATCTTCCTTCCGATTGCCGTGCTCCAATAAACACTTCTCCAATAAACACTTCTGCGATTTCTGCCGATGACATCTGCTGAAATCCTCCGATCTGTAACCCTACTCGTTTGCGGCAGAAGCTGGAGGATAGTGCAATCTTCAGGAGTTGTTGGATGAAGAAAACAAATCAAGAACCCTCCGATCTTCAAGCATAGTTGGATCTTCGTACCACGTTCTTGAAACTTCGATTGAGGGTCAATCAGCTCTCATTTTCTCTGGTGACTTGGTGAGAGTTGAAGCTGTTAGCTGCTGCGGTGTGCATCAACTTTGCACAAGCATCATTAATATTGCTTCTTGAAATTTCGACTAACCCTAAATGGGGCGAATTTGGATAATGGAACACTTTCGGGCGTGCTCCACTGTTTAGCGATTATTCAATTTAAGGTATCGATCCAATTTTATTTATGCAATCAACTATGGTTCTGTAAAGTCTCACCTGCATTTAAGATGATTCATTGCTCTCTTGCTCAGATTTCTTGGCTCTTTCTAGCTCATCTTGCGCCAACGCCTTGTGGCTAGCCTCAATGCCTCCAACAATCTTGGCAATGGATGGGGTGTTGCCAACTACCACCACCGATGCAACCGATTTCGCCACCTTTGGTTGACTTTCACTTTCCTCGGAATCAACTGGAACCTCGATTTCCTCGATCGAGTAACCAGCAAACTCAGTATCATGGCCTTCCAAAACAAAGCAAGTTACAGCCATGGAATCTGGAGGCGATTTCTTTGGACACCGATCCAAATATGCCAGGATGTCTGGTGTCAGTTTTGGAGAATTTGAAATCACACGCACACCTGTATTGGTTCCTGGCACGTGACCCTCGGGGCAGTATAATTTGTCTGAGAAAGACAAAAGATCTCTTGCCTCTTGGCATGCAGAATCGAAGTCTTCAAACGACAATGTATCGCTTCCTGCTTCTTTGATCGCCGCTCCCTTGACCTTTAGAGGGTTTTTCTTGGGCGCTGCCAAGCCAGCGACTTTCAAGTCTAGCGGTTTGTTGATGCGAAATGCAGCGCGTTTCAACGGGGTCACGCCGTCTCCATTCAGTGCCCAGTTGAACTCGTAGACCATACCGGGATACTCATTGGGGAAAGCTGACGGTTGTCCAACTCTTTTCACACTGTCAGGAACCCCACCATCCCACTGAGGCATGGATGTGGCTAGAAAATGACAACAAAATTGCAATAGAATTGAACAAATGTAAGTAATTCTGTATTCAATTTGCAAATACAATACAAAAATAGAAACTTGACAACAGCAACTGGGTCTACGGCTATGAGGAGATTTACTCACAAAATCCGCGAGCTAGGGAAGCTTTGACAACCTTCCTGGTGCAAGAAGCCAGTGTTTTGGAGGCTAGGGAGAACACCATCGCAGGTATCTGATATTGAAAACGATGTGCGCAACCTTCATCATCCTTTGTTGTAGAGGCTTGATGTCTGTCCGACCATACGGGAAAATAATTTTAGCGCATCCGCCAGTCATGGTATTGGTGAATTGGAGAAATGGGGGAAACCTTCCAGCCTCCAACCTTAGCACTTTTGGTAGTGTGACCATTTTCATCATAAAAAACCATCAGACCTCTTGGAGTCACCTTTTGGGCCTCTTGTATAGGGTCAATTGCTTGATTCACCCTTAGATTCCGTCACTAGTACAAAAATAACTAATTGTGCCATAGCTAAAATGAAAATACATCACATCGTTTTGAGCTGACTGCCCCCTCCAAACTAGTGAGACAGCCACTGCAGCCCATCTCCGTCACCTACTGATGACATACGAGCGAGCTGCCAGTCTCTTGCTCACCATTGGCGTCCTTCAAGAAGGCCGAACTAGACTGGCATGAAAACACAATTGTTTGCTTCAAAATACATAGCATCTGTTCAAGCTGACTCCCCCCTCCAACCTTGCAAGACAGCCACCACAGCCAAGTGCTGTCATCTAATATACGTCAAATAAGAAATACTTGCATGTCAAAGCCTCACAAATCACCTTTGTCATCCTCCAAGAAGGCCAAACTATTGGCGTAAAACTGCATTATTTTGGCCATATAGTACCATTAGCTATTTTTTGTGCTAGTGATAGAATCTAGGGATGAATCAAGTAATTGACCCTATATGGGAGCCCAAAGGGTGACTCCAAGAGGTCTGATGGGTTTTTACGATGAAAATGGTCACACTACGAAAAGTGCGAAGGTCGGAGGCTGGACATTTTCCACATGACTAGTCTTTCAGTGACTGGCGGATGCGCTGTCAAAATAAATACTTCTCCTGCAACGTGACTGACTGGACTTGTTGGAATTGCTCTCTTGGAGACCATTCATTGGAAACTCCTTGATCGAAGCAGTTTGACACGTCCGATCGGACAGACGGACAAATGTCCGTTTGGTCCGTTTATTCGGGGGATTGATTCCTATGAGTCGGTTTTGCAGGGAATCCAAAAACATGGAATTGTGCGCTTGGACTATCAAACTGTCTGAGCGCCACGAAAATCCCATACTGAATCCTGCGGGAGTTCTGTACGTGGGTTTTGTA